AATTCTTTGTTGTTCTATATATTTTTCTATTGTCGATTTTTTATTATTGATGGAACTCAATTTAGAAATTAATGCAGAGAATGAGATAATTTTTCACGAATACGTTTATATTTGATAAATCGACGTCTTTATAGTTGAATGAATTGAAAGGTAACGCATTGTTTTCCAATTTATTGGATTCACTTGTCATTTGCGAAATAAATGAAAAGAAAATAAAAAAAAGTCTGATCGTCGACAACGGGCAAAGCTTTCTCCCTATCTAGACGGTGTACGTTTACTCGAGCTTGTATGCTTCGCCATGCGAATCGGAGGTCAGCCTAGAATCAATAAAGTGCACAGTCCTGGCAGGGACTAAAACACACCACCGAATGGCAGACCTATACACGTAAGGGCTTATGCAGTAGCTTCTGTTGGCGAACGTTCACATTTTAATGGAAATAAAAGCAGTTCTTCTCTCGGGGGGAGAAGAGGGGCGAGAATACAAATCTCAGGAGATTTCATGGGATTTACAATAGTTGCCCAACTTTTGGAAAATTAAATTGCTACAATTCTTTTGTTACATAAAAATGTTGGCTTGCAGACGGAAACAGTACGATTTCCGTTGCAGATATAATTAGTTTCCATGAACAGGATAGCAAAATGTCATACTATTTAATTATCCAATTTTCAGGCTTTGGTAATTAATTCTATACTATTTCTTATTAAAAATAAATATTATACAATATATATAAAGCAAATAGTATGACATTTTGTGCACTGCCCTGTATATAAAAGATATATAGAGAATAGTTACGTCTCAACACAGTTTAGAAATTAATTTATAAGAAACAAGTATAAAAGGAAAGAAAAGAAGGAAAAGATTTTTATAAGTTAAATATGAGTTATTCGAGTCTGGCTGGTATTCGAGTGCCGTGTATATTTCTTATAAATTGTTACATTAATGGAATACAAAATTTCAAACATCATGTTTTAATCCTTCTCAATAAAACATAAAATTAAAAATATAAAACTCATCCTGCTTACATTGGATGTTGTAATAGATTATGTGTCCATTACATCTTCTGTGTATTTGTATGCGCGCGTGTTAAGTATACGTGTTTTACTATTTTTTGTTCCAATTCAAAATGACCGACGAATCATGATCAAAATGACCGAGGAATCAGTCATTTCCAGACCAAGCACAACGCGATTCATCATAATGATGTTGTGCAGATGTACTATAATTGTATATGTTGTTTTTAGTCATGCATATGACTAAACAGTCAATCGTACTGAGCGTACTATGAAAAGCCTAAAAATCATCAAGGTGGGAGATCCCTCTGTTCATCAAATATGCGAAATAAAAAGCATTTTTTTAGGTGTATCGGTATTCTTGGGATATGTTGCCGGTGTCGGTAAAAGAGCAACGGGATTTATAACACGATTTGTGATATTGGTCTCGCTCGAGATGTCAATGACGTTTCAAACGACAGACAGGGCTTACTGCTTATGAGGTTTTAACAATGAATTTTTTTTTGGAATTGTTAGTCTACTATCCAATCTCCAGCCTGAGGGATCGATACATATATTTACTGATATATATAGACCTACAGTTTCACGCCAGATCCGAACGGCATTGATGATCAAAGATCTCTTAATCACTAGATGGAATCGGCTTTTCGGCTTTTTAAACGTGAAAAATCGCATATGTGGGATTAAATCAGAATCTATAGATAATCGCGAGTCAATCGCACCGAGAGGCAAGCTACTCGACGTCTCATAATTTAATATCACGCTCATACTAAATAAAGATTTTGATTAATTGGACTTTATGAGTGATCTGAAAACATACTTTATAATCGTATTATGTAACTTTCCACAATTAAAGTTTTGATTATTTATTTTTTATTTTCCATGTTTATGTTGTAAAATTATTTCACGTATAAACTACCGTTGATTAACTAATGATAGTTTAATCGGAATTCGCTGCATTATGTAATTATAAATATATAGATACTATATTATATTATATATATATATATATATATATATATATATTGTATTAAAAATTATAATTTATAATTTAATTTTTACTATGTGATGTTATAATTCTGATAAACAAATTATAATTAATAATAAGAAAATACAAATTAGACAAATGCTGTTGAAGAAATTTTGGTTAAATTCAATTATGCAATTAAATATATGAGAGTTATATAAAATTATATAGAATATAAAATTATGTAGAAAGTTATATAATTTTGTTATCAGATTATCGAGATACATTATTGCAGCAACAAATCTTAATCTATTTGTAAATGTATTGATGTCAAAGTTATTTTTATCTCACATTAAGATCTATGCAAGATAATAACTGGCTTCAAAGCTCGAAAGAAATAGAGCAGATACACATGCTGTCTAGTCACGCTGATGTACATATGTGAACGATGCGAATTTTTCGCGATATTCGATCGCGATATTGTGTGGTTGTATGAAAGAGCGTTTTGTTATATATTTGCCACTGTGGCTTTAGCAATTCATATAGTAATAAAAAAAATATTGGAGTAATTGCGCATTCATGACGGGAAAGGCGCGGTTCTACGCGGAGGTAAACTTTATATTGATCTGCATCAATTTCGTCGCTGTTGTTTCTTGCTATTTTACATTTGCAGTAACAATCGTTTATGCCAATATCAATAAAAAGAGGAGCAAATAGGCAAAAAAAGTTTCATTCTGAAAAAATTCACCAAGATTTTTACCATTTGAATTTCTTCACGATGGCAAAACCATACAGTTAGATACACGCCATTAAGTTGATAACGATAAACTCGCTTAGAAATTAGAATTAAATAACTAAATTGTTTTGAGGAAAACAATGTAAATATGAATTGCGTAACGAGATTAGTATCGCAAACGAAATCACAAGTAAAGGTTCGCAGATGAATCGTTGGGAAGATATGCTCGGTTTGACCATTGTCACTTGTGGCTTGTAACGCCTAATCATAAGTCCCTCTCCAACGATTTACCGGCTTCCAAGAAGATCATTTTTTTCATGTCGTGCCGTCGGCGATTACGCTCGATGGCACACTATACTCTGCCATTACACTGCGAATAATCTACGTCGTGGTACTCCCTCGAGTGGCAATATTCGCGACACGAAGCTTCTAAATTTTACTTAAGCGATAAATGAATTTCTACTAGTTACTTATAAAAAATCTATTATTTGTTTATATAAAGAGAAAAAATTGAAACATTAAGAATGAATTTTAGTTATAAGAAGAAACATTAATTTAAAAAGAAAGACATATTTTACATGGCAAAATAAAGATTTAAAATCTTCTTGTAATTTAAATAGCTCTGCTAAATTAATTTATTTATTTTAAATAAGAAAATTAAGTTTGTAAAGAATTAATTTTTTACATTGATATTGATTTAATATCGCATAAATTTATGGTTTTTATTATATAATTTATATTAATAAATAATAATTTATATATATATAATCTTTTAGAATTATTATTTTATTGCAATTAGTAGAATAAATCAAGATAATCCTTAATACATCTGAGCTTTCATTGATTTTTTTTTTAATCTCGTCGTTCAATTTTCGGAAATCCTCGAATATCATGATTATCGTTTCCATTTTCGTAGTCTCTGTAATTTTTAGCAAAAAAGAGAATTTGTAAATTGGACATTATCGATTAATGTAATTGATAGTCTCGCAAAATCGATTAAATTGTGTTCGCTTTCTTTCAACCACGAGCAAACATTTATTACGCGAATTACGTTAATTAATTTTTTTACATGTCTAATCTCAATCGTAAATAGAACAAATAATTTTGTGTATTCTTCATAAAGAGTGCATCGAAACTAGCGCGACGATTACAATGCTGAAATGATATGCGTGGTAAATTGGCGCGACCTTTATGACCGCATTGCAAAGTTTCACCTCGAACCCAATACGTTTTATGCGATATTTAAATAATTTGTTTTGACTGCGAATAACACGTTTTCATGACCTGTTAATAATAAATATTATTAATTTTGTTAGAGCAAAGATCAGTAGGCAGCTTTTACGTAAAAGATATTATGATAAGTAGAACAATATTGTACATAAGTTCTTCTATAAGAAGGAATGTAATAATATTTCACGTACCAAAATTAGCAAAACTTTACATAAAAGCCGTCCAAAAGTTTTAAAAAACTAATATAAATAATTATAATGAACAGGATATCTACTGTATGTATGTAAGCAAAATTTTTAACACATTCTGATATATATACTTTTATCTTTATTAAAATTTCTAAGAGTTTCATTTTTTTATTTTTATACTTAAATTTTTTAATTACAAATGATTTTACTAATTTTGTTAAAAAATATATACAATTATAGTTAACATTCAATCATTCTTTGTTTATATAATATTATTTTATTTGTAAAATGAAAAATATTACTATATTAAATTTAAATATCGCTGCATGATAGAAAAGTGAACAACTCAAAATTAATAACTTTTCAGTAGAACATTTCTAAAATTCTTTGTGAAATAGAGCAATGTTTTAATTAGTATACTAAATATGCAAAACTTTTCTTTCCAAATTATACTTTTAATATATTTTTTAATTATTTTTAACGTATTCTATAATTACAACGTATTTTTTAAAACTATGTTAAACGTTTTCAAAATTTGGACACTGCAATCCTACAGGGTTATGTCAATTTTATCCCTTATCAGTATATAAGCAATGTATTTTTTTTCATAATATGTTAGTCTTAAAGAGAGGGGATTGTGATTTCTTTTCATTATTTAAAAAGTACTAGTTTTTTTTTATTTGTGTCACTTTTATCGCAGCAATATATCTGTGATATATCTGATATCAAGATAAAATTCATTTCTGGCATTTCCAGATATCAGTAGATATCCTGGCTATCAAGAACGCGTGTTCGCGCAACGCGGTTCGCAACCGCGCGTTAAATTACTCAAGGGAGCGACTCTATCTAATCCTGTGCTCTATTGCAGACCTAGGGAGTCCGTTCTTCCCCGGTGGTCCTGAATTGTGGCATCATCCATTGGCGTACTCTACAGCTGGCGAATTACCGGGCACGCTGCAACATGCGACGCTAGTGCATCCGGCGTTACATCCTCAGGTCCCCGTACGTTCCTATCTTTGACTATCTGCAGACAAAGCTCTGGAGCCGCCGACGAGCGCCCCGATGCACGTTAGTGATACATGATCGTTATACTCGATTACTCTTACATGGTAACAGGGAGATTCATGAGGGCTCAAGGACTGAAGATGCTTTTCAATCATGGTTGCCTTGAGTCCTCGACTCCTAAATTCTAGAATCTTGGATATTGAATTTTTTATAACGTTTTAGTCTTTCGGTTGTTTTGAGCATCTAAAGATAAATTTAAGAAAGTCTTAAGTACAAGGTCTGACTATGAATACGGGCATAAGTCCTCATCAGCCGTGTTTATAAATGAAATAAAAACTCCCGAAACAATAATTTATATAGACATATTATATAATTTCTAAGTGTTAATATGTCTATATAAATTATTGTTTTTTTTCGGGGTTTTTTTATTTCATTTATTAGGTGTTGGAATTAATTCGTAGCGTTTTTTAATGAAAGAATGTTATTTATTTCACATGAGCATTAAAAAATACATTAATGAAAGTACTTCCCATCACTTGTAAAACGCTACGAATTAATTCCAACACCTAATATATAAACACGGTTGATGAGAGATCTTAATATAGTTGAAACGTTCCGTGAAATCATAATAAAAGAATGATAAAATTTACTGTTTACACCAGAGCTCTTTATTGAAATGACCTGGTAGAAGCTCCTTATTTATTGTTGAAATTTATATGAGCGAATTATCTAATATATTTTCCATTGTAATTATCAGTTTTTTAAATTATATAATTATTGAAATAAAAATAAATAACGGTTATAAAATTTTTATTTTATTTTTTATAGTTTAAAGTTTTATAGTTTAAAGTTTTATTTTTTTTAATGTTATTTATTCTCAGGAAAAAAATTTTATGCAATTATATATAACAATATATGACTATATATGATTATATATGTCTATATACAAATATATTTTGCTTTAGATTATATATAGAAAATTGTTGCTAAAAAATTATTAGGTGTTGGAATTAATTCGTAGCGTTTTACAAGTGATGGGAAGTACTTTCATTAATGTATTTTTTAATGCTCATGTGAAATAAATAACATTCTTTCATTAAAAACGCTACGAATTAATTCCAACACCTAATAAGAAATTTATTAATTAGTATCACTTTTTACAAAAAGAGAGATGAGATTATATAGAATAAAATTATAATAAAAAAAAATATATTTGGAAAGTATATATACAATTTCAAGATCTTTCTAATCAGTTACCCATCCTAAGCTGTACTCTGACTAACGTTGCTTAACTTTTGTGATCTTACGGGAACTGATGCTTCGATAATTTATGAACACTGAATGCTAATACATATATATGTGTCATAAATCAGTTTAATATCAAAATAATTTTATACATCATCATATATAAAAAATTTTGCCTGGGTTATTAATAGTCTGTAATTTAAAATATTTGTTGAGAAAATATTTGTTGAGAAAAGGTCGGGGTCATAATTGAATCAGAAAGTTTGTTAAAATTTGATGCGATAATGATAACCTAGTATAAACATCATATAAAACCAGAATTAATAGAATAACCAATGAATAATATTATTAATCTGTGCTTCGCGGGTTTTCTCCATGTCTTGGTCCATAATAATATTATGCGGATTACTATATAAATAGCAACTTTTCCGCATACGCGTGTAACGTCAGTCAGTGTATTCGAATATTACTTTTTATATCGTCACAAAATCGATAACGTAACTTGTCGTCGCACTGCGTGTCCTCATGTATTATATAGGAACGTGT